TTTGATGTTTGCACATACAAACGTCATTTTGGGGGGAATAAGTACGAACCTAAACCAACCTAACCTAACCTAACCTTTTCCATATAGAATTATTGTGTGGATCCACCCCCCCATTCCTGACAAAATTGGCCCAAATTGCAGGTGAGGTACCAGGAAAATTGTGGGGAAAATATGCATAGAAAACAGTAAAATACATATCTATAGTAATAATACACAATGAATGTCACTGTAGTATATAATGCAGGGGGTTGCACCCCTGTGACTCCTCCCCCTGGAAGCTGCCGCCCCTGTGACTCTTCCCCCTGGCAGTTGCCGCCCCCAGTCTCTGGCCAGGCAGAAAAATATTCATCACGTAAGTATGTCAGGATAGAATGTGAGAGAATCACCCTCCCAGCTCAGCGGCATGTATCAGTCAGGTTAGCACTTTATGATTCCCAGGTTATATATTGCCATGTTCACCCTGTAAGTTGTACGCTCTATCCTGCCATGAATATGTAGCGGATTCTTTGTTTTCCTGGATAGGAGTAAGGGGACAGCATCTCCCAAGGGGGTTTGCAGGGAGCACAATCAGCAGTATGGTTAGGTATTATCTTCATTATGTTATTATACGCTTATTATTTTACCCTGCAATTTCCCTGGTGCCTTTCAGTCCTGTACTTGCTATCAGGGCCAAAAATGTGGGGTTTGGGGGGTTTCTGTGGCATATATGCTACGTATATTTGTACTTCCACTTTGAGGGGAATCCATTGATACCTATATTGTGGCGATTGGTTATGCGAAAGTATTATGAAAAATTACTGAGATGGTGAATGTTCATGACATACAGACAGTGACCTACAAGAGAGACACTTTTTTCCTATTAATGAAGACTGATTTGTCTTTTTAATTCATGCTGGTCTGTGGTGAATGGCCTTAGAAATCCAGTATAGTAGTGACAAGGTATCAGTTAATTGCTTTGACACTTGTTGCTCTGCCAAAAGCCAACAAACCTGCCCTACTTATATTCTGGCAAGACAGAGTTGGACTGGGTCTGTTCATGATGTCTGTACATAACTTCAGGGTCAACTAGCCACCACTTTTAAGGCAGAATAGGTGATCACAAAAGAAAATCTCAAAAAGGTGGAAGTGGTGAAGATTTGTAGGCAGCTGCCAGAGCGCCAGTAGGCAGAGATGCCATGTTGTGTGGTGCTAAGCCAGTCACAAATGCATGGGTGTCTTTTGAATATTTACTTAAGATGACAGATTCCAATTAGTATTGTTATAGATACTGATACTCTTTATTTGATAGGCCTGCCTCTTTATGGCAAAAGTTAATGTCAATGTACAAAGTTAATAACTTGGCAGCCAGTTACATTGTGTAAAAATATTAGAATTGGATCATCTGTCTTAGAACCTATGAACCTAAATTAGATCTACTATGGTCTTTACAGAAGGAGCCTTTGTTGGCAAGAATGACAACACCAGAAGCATGGAGATCTTTGGAAGAAGCTGCATGGGGCCCAATGCCGAGTTTAGGGCCAGAGTGGATGGGAAAGTCAAGTGCTAGTGACTCTGGGTACTTATTGATGTTGACAGATGGTTGTGGTGTCTGGGGCGAGAGGAAAACTGCAGACTATGTTCTGGAAAAGGCAGAAGTAAGTTCATTTTTGTCAGGGTGCATAATACTAGTTCATAAGATTTATCTGTGTAAAAAGAGCAAATTGCATTGTAGCCATAGTTAGTAGGAATGTTATTTGTTAATGCAGGTAAGGTAGGTTCTAATGAAAAGGGAAGATAAAAAATTGATATAGATTGGAATTATCAAATGACATTTATATATGTTTTCTTTGAAAAATAGGAGTGGGCACCTTGCATAGAAGCAGGTATCAAAGAACTGTCAGGTTTGGTTCTGGATGAGGTGAAGAAGTTGAATGTGAAAGTGCAGTGGAGAGAAGACAGAAAGACCATGACCCTAAACCTCTCATCCAGACTCAATGATCTGGCATTTAAATGGATCTTCACATTGAACAGATTGTCTGATGACCTGGTAGGTATTTGTGTTATATATTTTTTTTCTCTTTTCATGATTAATTGTTATTTTTATTGTTACTATTTATTTATATTTTTCATGATACCTTGTTCTCCCTCTTTACCCAGTGTTGGCTGAATTACTATATGTAGCTTAATTCCAGCCAGATGCCAGATCCAAAGAGTTTTTATTGTTTTTATTGTTTTTTTTCCTATACTTAGTTGTCAATGTTTTTTTTCAGTTTCGTGAACATTGGTCAGTACCACTAGTTATACAAATGCATCATATGGGTATGTTGATTAAACAGCTGAATACAGACCTTAAAAAGAAGACTGAACAAATAAAGGAACTTACACCTGATAGTAAAAATAACAGTAAGTATTATGAAATATAATTTTCTTGATTTTTATTATTTCTAGAATGAACTGTATTCTATGTTACAAATGTAGAAAAGGTATAAATGAGAATTAATATATTCACAATACAAGAAATGTATTTCACTAGTTTTGAATCTCTCTTTATCACAAATACATGCATTTCTGGAAAAAAATATATATGAAACTGGTTAAATGCATCACTTGTATTGTGAAGATATTTATTCTCATTTACATCTTTTCTATATTTCTAAAATATCAAGGAACACTTCATGAAAACATTTGCATAATTATTCACAGAAAATGCCAAACAGATTGATTGAACAGCTGATTATGATTATGATCCAGTAACTCGTAACTTTTTTCCTTTTTAAGTGATAGGAATGGAAAAAGTCACCAGATCTAATTATTTTTTTGAACTTTTACAGAAACAGTTAGTAAAACTAAGAAGAAGGATGTGATAGATGCCTCAGTAGAAGCACTGATGGTGGAAGGCAATTGGACAGTACTGCAGGACCATCTTGTCAATTTTCCATTTATAATGAAACATTTATCAAGCAAAAGGTAAAGCCCGATTTGAATGACAGTGCTGGTAGTATACAATATATATTATAGACAAGATGTTAACTATTATTCTGTTTTCCTAATGAAATCCTAACCTTCTGTCTTTAGATGTAGTGATTTTACCCTTGATAGTAATCTTTTGCAAAAAACATGAAAATGTTTCATTTAGGAATGAAACTAAGCTTTTGTCTTGCATACTTGCAGAAAAAGAAATTTTGAAGAAAGTGAGAATTTGCCTGGGGCTGCTGCCACTACTGCTGCTACCAACAAAGGTCAAGTTAATGACAAGAAAAAAAGGGAGGTGAGTTTAACAAAGACATGCACACTTTGAATTTTTATTTATATATGGTAATGCTGTAGGAGAAATATACTTGAGTCTTTAAAAGATTAAAGCATGTTCTGTGTTCAACACTGTGCAGTCACTGAATATTTGATTGCATTTATTTATCTATCTATATGTACTATATGAAGATGACTGAGAGAATTTTGTGTATATTCCAAAACAGGAGGATGAAGAATTGGAGAGGCTGGAAAGGGAGAAAGAGAAGGAAAGGAGAGCCCAAATACAAGAACTTCAACAAGGACCACCATTAACACTGTCACCAAATAAGAAAAAGAAGAAGAAACTGAATATTTGATTAACCTTTGAAAAGTTTCTTTGTGATATTATTGTGATACATGAATGATGCAGATTTTCACTTGGTCACATGATTTTTTATATGTTACGTGCTGTGAGCAATAGAGACTTACATAGAAGCCAGGAAATTAGTGTTATAGTTATAAAAAGTGCATTGGGATATTGCTTCACTGTATTTTTTATTTGCAGTTAAATATTAGGGCAATCACAATGTAGCAGTTACAAGCAGCTACTTTTATAAAGTGATTTTTAGACATTTCCCAAGTGATGAAAGTACAAATGAGTATATAGTTGAATGTATGTGATTTTTATCTGTCATTTTATGGATGTCTTTTCTGATAACTTTTAGATGTAAGTTTTAGATGCTGAAATCTAAGGCATGAGCACTTAAAATGTAAGGACGAAGGGGCACTTCCTTAAATGATCAGTTACTCTGTAAATTATTATATTAAAGTTTTGTTGTATTTAATATTTGCATGTTCCCCTCCTCTTTATTATTATTATTGTTTTTTGTTTTTTACTGAAATTTAATAAAGGTTTCATTAGACCATAATGTCCAGTTTAAGGTGTGTAATACTAATATAATTGTAATGCACAGAAGTCTGGTTTTTGGTTTGAAACCAAAGTATTGCTATGCAAAATGTTCATGTATTGAAAGAAAGTGCGTCAAAACAACAGAATATTATTGTTGTTGATATTTTTGATATAGCAAGTTTGTAAGGTGCTTCTACAGTGCCTTTGAAGATTGTTATTGAAACATTTTATATAAGATATTCATATTGGAGCTTAATCTCTTTATTGTATTTTGCTGTGCAATCCGTACATTCATTGGACTAGTCTTATACCCTTTTATGATCACCAGTCAGACTTCATTACATATTTGAAAGGAATATATTTAACAAACTACTTCCTAATATATATTTCAAATAAAGAGCAAAGAAGTATACATCTTTTATTCCAACCTGTTTGTTTTAGTGCATCAATTCTTTTTCAGACCAGACTATCATGTCAGGACAATCACTGAATTTTTAAGTTTAGTGATGTTTTTAATTGTTTTAAGGTTTTTGATGGTACCTTCAGCATCTGATGATTTGATATTTTTCATACCGGTTTAAGGATTTGAGTGGTTTCACATATATTTTCTTTTTTAAAGTGTTAGTGAATTTGTCTTTCATTTTTTTTTTATCTTGTACATTTTCACGTTTAGGTTTTTCTTCTTCCACCTTTTCAAAATTTTATTCATACTCCCATTACCCAGATTGGCTTTGTAACTATATATAGTATTTTAAACTTTTATTCCTGAACAGATGTCAGCAACCTTTGGCATGAGTGCCAGACTTGGCAAGCAGAGCACTTGTCTATGGCACACTATTTATTTCAGAGGAGCAAAGAAAAAAGTCAAACGGCAAAATATTAGAGAGAGAGAGAGAGAGAGAGAAAGTCTTATTATTATGGTCCGCTAAATTTTAGAATCGAGAAATGTTAGAAACTACTGCGAATGATCATGCAGTCTCCATATTAAGTTCCAGGACACCACTGTCTGATAAATTCAGGTAAGTGAAGAAAGTAGCCTTGGCATTGCTATTAGCATCTGTGTCCAGATATTAATATGGTGAGTATAATTCTAAAATTATAAGACCTACATATTTCTTGTTACAAAGAATACTAAAAGCTACAAAAATATTACATTTATGTTATGCATGTGCAGGAAAATACACTTGGGTATACAGTGCTAAAAAAACAAACTGGCATGCAAGGTTATGAATAAGAAGACATTAATTATCAACCGGCACACTATGTTCTAAAGGTTGCCGACCCCTGTTCTAGAACCTATAAATCACTACTATGCAGACGTTCATTAATTAGATATTTCAGATAATGCAAAGTGTTCTAAGACAGTTAATAGGTAGGGACAGTAAATCCTTCCCTGATTTTCCAGTTTAATGGTAGGTTATTTTGCTTTTCTTCAGCATGAATAGTAATTTGTACACCAGAGTAATGACAAAGCAAAGCAAAAAAAAAAAAAAAAAAAAAAAAAATGGAGATGGGTATTGGTTACATTTACTCTTAGCACCCATTAAATGTTTAAAGAAAAGGAAAGGAAAAAAAGAAAGCTGTAAATAAATCAGGTCAGTTTCTTATGATTTTTGTTGGTTATGATAATCTTTTTTCTCATATCAGTGCTTTGCATACTGAAAAGTATCCCACATTCTACTTCAAAAGTAGAAGTATATACACAGTATTTTATTCAGAATATAACGTTGGGGAAATAAAAGCAATGAAGATTATAATCCTATGATTATGCAGAAAAAATAAAGAAATGTGTTTAAGCTTTACTGAATAAAGATACACACTTTTAACACTCTTTACTATACAATAAGCTTTTAATATTATATTAGCAGTGTGTTAGGTGCGAAAGTTTAAACCTGTTGTAATTATTACAGGTATCACGTTGTCTTCTTCTAAGGTAGATGAATACTACCTTAGAAATTGATATAAAAGTATATGGTATCTCCCTGAATCAAAAAAAGTTCATATTTCCAGATTAGATGTACGGTGAACTTCTTTAATATATAAGATCAATGAATTTTTATTTTGAAATTCGCGCTTAAGTTATCAGCTGTGCCTTTTGGTTAGTACATATTTCGCATGTGTTCATTTACCTGATATACAATGAAATCATTATAATAAGAGTTCTGATATATATTGATAATTTTCCAAAGTATATGTTTATTTTAAAGTTAATATCTACAGATTGTTAACGTATTTAGAAGTCAGTTAAAGAATTAAAAGAGGCTCTTATCTTCCCGGAAAAATGACGTAAATAAAGTAATGAAACTCCTTTGTAGTACAAGAAAATAAATTCGCAAATAATTTCGATATTCTATTTAAGGCCTTTTAGATTTATGAAAAAATATTCTCTAAATATATATTAGGAAAAAATCAAGGCATAATTATTCCAGCTCGGATATGCTAGACGAGAGAGTTTGTTTTGACCGGCCAGCTGACTGTAAACAATCCGTGTTGGCAGATCCCTAATGTCTGGCAGTTCCATCGCCGTCTGTCAGGATGGCCAGCCCTCGCACACGTCGGGTCCTTGCCGAAATTAAGCCCAAAGATGAGAATAGTGTAAGTACATGAGATCGAGATGTGTTGACTTAAAACCGTGTGTGTTTGGAAGATTATTATGTCATAATGGTGCTGTTAGTGGGTCAAATTCGTTTCAGGGTCACAGCCTGACCTCTAGGCATTCGAGACTGGGTCATCAGTACTCGAGGTGATGATGCTGGGCACGGGGGAGAACCATGTCCATGCCCAATTTTATACCAGGGACATGCTAGTACCTTATTTTAGCATTAAAACATGCCCTCTTGGGAAATATCTGCAAGTGATCGAAAGAGAATTAGAGTTATATAATTTAAGATAATGGAGAATATGGTAAACATATGGGAATATAGAGCCCATAGAGCCCACATAAATTAAATATAAAGGTCAGCTTTCAAAATTCAGTCAGGATTATGTAAACTTGGAGATTTCAGGGCTGGGGAACATGCCAGAGACAAAGGCCTTTGTTTTAGGAATCTGTTGGATGCAAACTTCATAAATGTATGACTGGAACAGCTTTTGTGACATAATGTTCTCTGACAGTGAGCATTTTCAACTAAGAAATTGTACATTTGTATTGAAAATGGTGTAGTTTTCTTCAATTGGATGTATTCTTTCATTTGAGAGGAATAGAAGTAGATGAATATCATAAAAAGGACTGCTTGTTGGTTGGTAATAAATGAAGACCACTATCTTTACAATGTCACTGATTATCCACATGGAACTATTGTTGATAATGCTGGTATGTGTGTGTGTGTTCATGTACATATGCCTGCCTGCCTATCTACCTATCTATCTATCTATCTATCTATCTGTCTTGACATATTTAAATAAGTATGAATGAGAAGGAATATCTTCACAATAGAAGTGATGTATTTGACTGGTTTTGAATATATCTTCATCAGAAATACATGTATTTCTAAGAAAGATATATTTGAAACTGGTCACTTGTATTGTGAAGATATTCATTCTCATTCATACATTTCCATAATATACATGTATGTAAACATATATATATGTGTGTGTGTGTGTGTGTGTGTGTGTGTGTGTGTGTGTGTGTGTGTGTGTGTGTGTGTGTGTGTGTGTGTGTGTGTGTGTGTGTGTGTGTGTGTGTGTGTGTGTGTGTGTGTGTGTGTGTGTGTATGTGTGTGTGTGTGTGTATGTGTGTGTGTGTGTGTGTGTGTGTGTGTGTGTGTGTGTGTGTGTGTGTGTGTGTGTGTGTGTGTGTGTGTGTGTGTGTGTGTGTGTGTGTGTGTGTGTCGTGTGTGTATATATATGTGTATATGTATGTGTATATATGTATAGATATGTATGTGTATGTATATATGTGTATATATGTGTATATGTATATGTATATGTATATGTATATATATATATATATATATTATGTATATATATGTATATATATGTATATGTGTGTGTGTGTGTGTGTGTGTGTGTGTGTGTGTGTGTGTGTGTGTGTGTGTGTGTGTGTGTGTGTGTATCTATCTATCTATCTATCTATCTGTATATATAATATATATATATATATATATATATATATATATATATATATATATCTGTGTTGTGTTTGTATTTGTGTGTTTGTGTGTGTATTTGTCTGTATGTGTATGTGTATGTGCATGTGCATGTGTTTGTGATACATTAACACTGAAACATTCAGAGATATTGGAGATAAAAGATTTAGAAAATGTTTTACATGTTGATGAATTATTAGGATATTAGATTAGAAACTAACGTGTCCTCATTTTCTTTGACAATTGAAAATACTGAACTAGAGAAAAAGTACAAGGTACATATTTTTCACTGAATGGTAATTTCACTTGCCTTGAAAACCAAGGATTTTGGTTATGTTGATGGAGGCTTAATGACCTTCTGCACATATGTTCATACTCTGTACAGTTGTTCTTTGTGGTGGGTTCCTGGTTGACTTCCCTGTTCAGTTTTGTCTTCTAGTAAGTTTACCATGTTTATATTGGGAAAAGAGTAAACAGAGATGAAAATTAGAAAGTCAGGATGAAATGAAAAGGAGAGTGAAGAAAGTGATGGGTAAAATGAACAATATATTATAGGATAGAGCATGAAGGCATGGAGAAAGGCAAATAGATATATTCAGGAAAGAAATATTTGTAAATAAGATAGGGACGAGATGAATGGAAATATTTGAGTAAGAAGTAGAGCCAATTAAACACAGATTAGTATATGAGTTTATTCAAAAGTTTTGGTAGTATATGATTATGTATAATTGTTTAGACATTGGTTAGTGTGAGAGATTGATATTAAAGACTAATACTAAGAGGTAATTTGCGATGAAATATGACCTACCGATACTTTATATTTAAGAATGAATTAATAAATGAAATATAGATTTAGTAGTATAATGCAGATTTAGGAATGTAATGCTCATCCTTTGTCTCTTCAGCAATGCTTTGAATGTGGAACCCATAATCCACAATGGTCGTCTGTAACCTATGGGATATGGATTTGTCTGGAATGCTCAGGAAAACACAGAGGCCTTGGAGTGCACTTGTCCTTTGTCAGGTCTATAACTATGGACAAGTGGAAGGACATAGAACTTGAGAAGATGAAGGTTAGTGTCTTATAGCAATGAATATCTTATCCAATGTATATTGATCCTTTTATGGAGTATATTGGCTTGGTGATATATATTCAGCTATTGTTTTGATTCTAGATATCTGCATCTAGAATGCAAGTTTGTGGATGATGATATTTTTCATCTATTTTAAGAACAAATAGAAATGCCATATATTTAAAAGTTTATTTTTTGAAAATGGATTACTTCTGAGCGTATGTTATTTGGTGCTTTTGAATTTAGGTTGGTGGAAACAGGAAAGCCAAGGATTTCCTCTTTAGTCAATCAGATTACGATCATCAGGCCCCACTGCAACAGAAGTATAACACCCGAGCTGCTGCTCTCTACAGAGATAAGGTGAGTAATCTTATTGTTATTGTTGAAGAAGTTTTGCCCATATCCTTTATAATTGATATTAAAGACTACTATATTATATGTATCAGAGACTTCATTCACTGATTTGCCATGGTTACCCTCAGATCACTTCTTTAGCCCAAGGGAAATCATGGAGTGTAGAATCTTCACAGGCAAAAAACCACCAATCGACAACAATCCCAAAGTCAGTCTCTACGCCAGCATTCAAGTCAGGAGGTATGTCTTTTCTCTCCAATAATTTTTATCTGGATGAGAGAGCAATCTGCCTCAGCTTTTTGATTATAAGTAATTGTGTACTTTGTGATGGAAGCTGAGGAACTTGGGAAAAAAATCATCCTTTTAGA